TGTGTCATCTCTGGGGGAAGGTCCTTGTCATCAATCCTCCCCATTCCAGGAGCTTCTCAGTGCAGGGACCCCGAGGACGCGTTATTCTCCCGGCTCTTGAATCTTGGTGGTATGAGGTCCCCATGTCTCTCTGCTCACTTCTCTCTTTTATGTCTCAAAAGAGATTGACTTAAAACACAACCTAATCTTGTAGATTGAGACCTGCCTCATTAACATAACTGCCTCTAATCCTGCCTCATTAACAGTATAGAGGTAGAATTTACAACACATAGGAAAATCATATCAGATGTCAAAATGGTGGACAATCACACAATACTGGGAATCATGGCCTAGCCAAGTTGACACATATTTTTTGGGGACACAATTCAATCCATGACAGTCTCCTTTGCTGGTTCCTCTTCTCCTTGTCCTCTTACTTTGGAGTGCCCCAGGGCTCCATCTTTGCTCCCCTTCTATCTATATACTCACTTAGTAATCTCATCCAATCTTGTGGCTTTTAATAGTGTCCAAATGCCAACAAGTCCCACATTTATTACCTGCAGTCCAGATATCTCTCCCCAACTACTTACTCAATATCTCTATTGGATATCTAATCAATATCTCAAATTTAACAAATCCAAAAACAAATTCCTCATCTCCCGGTCTAAACCTGCTCCACTCACAGCTTTCTTCATCTCGGTTGATGACAACTCCACCTTTCTAGTTGCTCAGGACAAAAATCTTAGAGTTATTTTTGACTCGTCTCTCTCACATCCATATCCTGTTGGCTCTAATCTTCTAAGTACATCCTGAAACCAACCATTTCTCACCACTTTCAGTGCTACTACCCTGTTTTGAGCCACCATTATCTCTGTTGGCAATAGTCTCCCAACTGCTTTAACCCTTGACCTAATACACTGTATTCTCAACATAGCAGGCAGAACAATCTTATCAAAACACAAATTAGAACATACCATTCTCCTGCTCAAAACTCTATAATGACTCCCCACTTTCACTCAGAGTAAAAACCACTGTCCTTCACATGGCCTACAAGGCCCTCCCATGACCTGGCCACCTATGACTTCTCTGACCTCATCCCCACATGCTATCTCTTTTCTCTCTTGGCTTCAGCCACACTGGCCTTCGTAGTACTCCTCAAACATTAGGCACACCCCCACTTAGGGCCTTTGCTCTAGGTGCTCCCCTGCCTGGATTGCTCTTCTACCACATCTGTTTAACTCCCCCGTCCTTTTAAGGCTTTGTTCAAATCCCACCATACTTGATATTGTGACTTATCTCTCCTCTCACACTTCTGGCACCTCGACTCCCCTCACCTTGTTCTATCTTATGTTTTATAAAACTTGTCACCTTTTGAGGTATTACATAATAAATAAGTACATATCATATATTATTTATTATATTATTTTTATTACCCAGCTTCCCCTCTCCCCTCTAAAACTTAAAGCGGGAATCTTTATTTTGTTCACTGATATATCCCAAGGGCTTAGAACAATGCCTGGCACATTGTAGGCCCTCAATAAATATTTGCTGAATGGTCATCTGTGCCTGTAGGCTCCTGATTGCTAATTCTCATCCACAACAAACTGACCCAGACATACAATCCAACCCTTCCCTCCATCTCTACAAGGGGAAACAAATCCACATACACAAACTACCCATACATGTGGCTGAGCTGTCTTTAATGAAGACTTGGAGGCAGAAATCCAAGGGGGTTCATTACAACAATACAAACAACTTCCAAGTAAACATCAGGTATGTCTCCCCATTTCTGAAATGACATTTGGCCTCCCTATTAACAAGGAATCTCAACTAGCCTTTGAGAATTTAAAAAGAACTCCCCACACTCCTAAGAAAAGACTGACAGCTCCACAGCCATGAAACAAGTTTCAGAACTGGTTGTAAATCAGTATAATCAATCACTGGTGGTTCTTTAGTCACAGTAACAAAAACACTAAAACTTATTTTAAACTACTTTATCTATCAATGATAACTCACTTCAATAAATACGCTTCTGAAACCCAGCCAATCAGTGATGGCTTCAGGTTTTGAGAGTCAAGTAATTGGCAGCAGACTCACTCCTGCAAATACATTTCTAAGGTCAACTCACTCTTGCTTCTGCAACCCACACAGCCCTGAAACAAATGATTCCCTAAAACCCTATGTAAGACCAGCGGTTTGCTATGCCTACTGAGAGTATGCCTGATGAGTATGGGTCTCCCTGATTTCAGATATTGAGTGCTGATCTCATCCTATGACATCATTTATGCCATTGAGTCCTGAGCCTCACACTGTTTGACTTGATCCCCCCTCTTCTTTGCCCTCGATTCACCCCATCTCATAAGCAAGACAAAATCCCCTCATTTTCTGATGCAGTGCACTTTAACCATTTTGATGTTTGAGCTCCTTCCAATATTTAAAGCCCTGGAGCACTTACCTTCTATTTCAAAATAATTTATTAAGATGGTCTCCCAAATATAGTTTTGTCCCAAAAAGGAATTCTGGGGAATTTCTTTCACCAAAGGTAAAATATTTTTGCTGTGTTATATTATTTCAACTAATATTCATGTTATCCCTATGCCATAATTCTTCTAACTCCTATTTTGAAAATAAAGCAATGGAAGTATAGTGAGTTTAAGTAATTTCCCTAAAGCCACATGATTATTAAGAGGCAGATTTATGATGTAAACCTGTTGTTGTATGCCATTGAGTTGATTCTGACTCATAGCAACCCTATGTGACAGAGTAGAACTGCCCCATAGGGTTTCCTAGGCTGTAATCTTTACAGGGAGCCCTGTGGTGCTGTGGTTAAGAACTATGGCTGCCGCTAACCAAAAGGTCAGTAGTTTGAATCTACCAGCTGCTCAAAACTGTATGACCTAGGGTTTAACCTAGGGCAACAGGTTAATCTTCATGGAAGCAGATCACCAGGTCTTTTCTCCGGTGGAGTCGCTGGTGGGTTTGAACCACTGACCATTTGGTTAGCAGCCAAGAACTTAACAGTTGCACCATCAAGGCTCCTTGATCGTTTTTAATTCAAAATTTGTTTTTTGCATCACAATATGCTGCCACCATTCTTTTCCTTCAATATCATCACCCTAATCTCTTCTTCTCAATTACTTTCCTCTAAGGCCCCTAGACAGGAGCCCTAGCCCTGGCGATCTGCTCCCGTGAAGATTACAGCCTAGAAAACCCTATGGGGCAGTTCTATTCTGTCCTATAGGGTCACTATGAGTTGGAATCGACTTGACAGCACACAACAACAGCAAGGCCCCCTAGAAGAGTGTCACCTAAGTATTAAATCAGGAGTAGGCAGGAAAGGAACAATGGCAGACAGATTTGGGACAACTTTGGTTCTGAAACAGAAAATCTTTTCTCCCGCCCATTTCTTCTTGTGGCTTCCTCTCTTACCTGTCAATCCTCTGGTTTCGAATTACTGTATATGCCCAACCTTGGATCATAATATACCCTTAGGTTCTGGATATCTCAAACACAGACTCTTTGGACAATCACTTATTCTGACTGCACCTACTGAGGTGTTCTAGTTTGTACTGGAACAAACTACCCCAGCTGTTCCTAACCACTCCTGGCTAGGATTCTACCTAACCATACTTCCAGATATTGTTAGATTCTCACCTTGGACATACACCCACCTTAGAACTAGAGTTGCCCAGTATCCAATATGAAGACAGAGCAACCAGATCAAATGAAAGATATTAGACTAATTGTCAAGTAATCCTCAGATTCATCCCACACACAGATACTAGGGATCTAGCTCAAATACAAATCTGTGTCACTCCTGTGCTTAACCACCTTCAGTGGTTACTGTCTACAGAACAAAATCCAAGCTTCTTAACATGGTATAGAAAGCCATCATGATCTGACTCCCACCTGCCTCTTCAGATTCACATCTCACTACTCTGTGATTCAAACTTGACATTCCAGCAACCTTGAAGTAACCCTAATTTATTGCATATACCCTGCGATTTATTTTCCTTTATCTTTGTTCATATTCTGGAACGTCTCTTTTTTTTTTTTTAATCCTCCTAACTCTCTTTTTATGGCTAATTTTCATTCACCCTTTAAAATTCAGCTCCAGCATCATAATCTTCTTCTGAAGTCATCCCTAACCTTCCCACACTGGCTTTGATATCTCTTAAATATTTCTATCACTGTGTTACTATACCACATGGCAATCATCCTTTATGTATGGCTGCCCCATAAGAATATAAGCTTCCTGAGAAGAGAGACTATTTTACTCTTGCATCCCAGTATCAAACACGGTGTTCATTACATAGAAGATACCTAATGACTGCTGAATGGGTTTTGATTAAAACAAACAAAATACTAAAAACAAGAGCAGTGATGATGTCAGTATTAATCCCTAGCACTGATATATCTTTAGGGTACCGATAAATTCTGATTTTATAAACCCTTACACGTCACTCTTACAGCACCTAGCTCAGTGTTTTCTTTGTCCACCAAAATAAAACTAAACCCATTGCCACTGAGTCAATTACGACTCACGGCGATCCCATGCATTAGAGTAGAACTGTTCCATAGGGTTTTCTTGCCTGTGATCTTTACGGAAGCAGATTGCCAGGCCTTTCTCCCATGGTGCCTCTTGGTCCACAGTAAGTGCTAAATGGCTATTTTTTCAACTGAATTATAAGAACTGGTGATTATTACTTCTTCGTGTGTATTGGGGAGAGAGGTTGGAGTAGAGAAGTGACTTAACCTTTCCAAGCTTTATTTTTCTCATCTGTGATAGCGGTAATAATACTACCTACCTCAAAGGACTGTTAGATGGAATTATTTCAATAATCTATGAAAAGCCTTTAACACAGGGCTTGGCACATAGTAGCTATTTAAAAAAAATGTTAGAATTATGAGATTAAAAACTGTGGTCTTCTGTACACACAGGAAATCCTTTTCTGAAATTCAGAAGTAAATGCTAATTTTGAACATAACCAACCTACTTAATTTCAAAATATATCACTTACCTTTCTTCTGAAGATGAACAAGTAATTGACAAATTTTCTCTTGCTAGAAGAGAATAAAAAAAGTATCAATGGGAGAAGCTCAGGCTGAACAAGTACTATATTAAAACATAAATTATATGATCTTTACCAAATTTCACACTTTTAAGGCATCTGTCTTCATTCTATTTCAAGGGAGACAAAAAGTTAGAGGAGTAATCCACATATCAAAGTTCCACAATTTAATGTGTGATCTAGAAATACAGGGAAGAGGGAATCAACTATTGATCTTACCTCCTGAGTATCTGAACTATCCTTTTCTGGAAATGTGGGCTTCTTCTGAAAGGATGTACAAAATTTTATGAGTACTATCTCAAAAATAATTCCTAGAAAAATTATAAATAAGATTGTTGCCCAATCATTTTGAAAAATCCAGGACTCTAAAAAGTCCCATAATACGAAAAATGAATTATCTTCCAATCCACTCCTCACCCCATTTTTAAAGAAATGATATTGCTTCGGCATTTTAGTACGTGAAATAGACTGGCGTCTCACTCCTAAATCCTCGATCTGGGATGCCCCCAAACACAAAAAGTTGGCATGCCCATCTCATAATCACGTGTGATGCTCTGCCAGAAAAAAATTTCCAGTGCCTCTCAGTGTCTTATCAAGTACAACAGTGATGGCCCTGGTAAGGTAAAGTGAGAAACGTGTCATAGTGGGTATTTAACTGAGCTCACATCAACTTACTTTAGCAATAAACAAAGTTCATTGGTCAGACATGTGTAATGCTATAAGTAGTTTGTTAACTTAAAATTTGGAAAATAATCTTTTATTAATTTCAAAAAAAGAAATATAATTCTATAAACAACCCCTTACCATAGTTGGGTTATCACTGCCCCATATTAAATATAT